GGACTTATATAAAGAAACCATAATAGGGAGCCCTAAAAAAGGCAGGTTCTTTGGGGTCCAGGAAGGCTTAAGGGCTTGGGGTTAGGGGGGCTTAGGGCTTTTATAGGGGTTAGGGGTTTAAGTTTAAAAGTTTCATGGTTCAGGCTATGGGGTTTAGAGTTGTCAAGGTTGCTGCCCGGTTTGGGATGCAGAGTTTTTCCCAGAGACTCCAAAACCTCTTTAATTAAGGAATATACCTTAAACTATAATCGGAACCCTCATATGATTTAAGGTATATATATTCCTTAATTCAGGAATATACCTTAAACTACAATAGGAACCCTAGTATGATTCAAGGTATATGTTGCTTAATTAAGAGGTTTTGGAGTCTCTGGGTTGTACAGGGATGAAGCCTCGGGGCTGGTGTTTAGCTTGTACTGTGCCGGGGGTTTAGGGTTTAGGGTTGAGGGTTTAGGGTTTGGGGTTTAGGGTTTAGGGGTTTTTGGACTTTCCGGCGCACCAATCAGGAAGATAGAAGGTTGGTGACCGAAAGACTTTTTAGACAATTTTGAACCTTTAACCCTAGAGCTCTAGAGCCCTGAGCCAATGAGGATCGGAATCCTGGATAGCCCCGAACGTCGTGGCCATTCATGCTGAAGTCCGCAGAAACCGAACAAACACACCCGGTAACAATACATCCAGACGGCTCAGATGCACACTTTCAGATCCACTCCATTAGCCATTACCAACCCTAACCCCACGGAGCAAGACGCGGACAGAGTCATTCCTTCTTGGAGCCACCAAACACTTGCTTGTAATATAGGAGCCTTAATGATCAGAATAATGTTTCGGGTATGACATAATATACTCATATAGGGTCTAGGGGTTTTAGGGTGGGTTTCGGGTATGACATAGTATACTCATAGGGACTCTTAGGGGATAATGCTACTACTTGCTTCAACCCCAACGGTGATTCTTGCCGGCCGGGCTGTCGACGCAGGGCCCCGATCCCTAAACGGCACAGCCCTCGGAGCCCGAAGACCGAGATACTCGAGGGCCCTGAATGAATAGAATAGGGTTTTGTTGCATGTTCTACTTGTCTTATAATCAGGAACCCTAAAGAAAACCCGTATATTGCCCCATACTTAAAACCCTAAACCCTAAACCCCAAACCCTACTTACAACCCGGAACCCTACGGAATGAAGATCGAGGTACAGTTCTCGAAGCCTACCACGGCGAGTTTGGCCCTTGCCGCGCGGCACCACAATGCAAGGGATCCGGAGAGCACCTTGAAACGGGGAGCTGATTTGGGCGGGGCTCAAGGCTTTACAGCATTCATGCCAGGGTTCTTGAATGGCCTTAAAGTCCTTGTGGGCTCCACTTCGGGACTTAGGGTGTTCATTGTCTTGCAGATGTTGACAACAGAGTCGGTGCAAACCATGCTTGCACTGATGCGGAGCACCGTGCGGGCATTGACGTCAGCATGCTGTGCCAGCAAAAACTTTGCTGTCTCAACGGCTCTGCAGTTGCCACGTGAAAACAGAGTCGTCGCGTGCAAGGGGCCATACCTGTTTTCCTCCGTCTGGTTGATGTCGCATCGGCAGGACAGGAGTACTTTCATAGTCTCGGGGCCGCCAAAAGATGCAATCCCGGACAGAGAGGAGGGAGGCATGTCAGCGCGATGTTCCACCATCACTTTCACTTGCTCAGGGGTCCGGCAGAAAGACATGGCCACGAGGCCCGTCCTGGCACGGGCATTGACGTCTGCACGGAGCTGAATCAGCGTCGCCAGGACAGAAGCATCCTGTTGAGACTTCGCCGCTGCCATGAGGGGCGTCTGGGTGTCGTAGTATCCTGAAAGAAAGCACTGCAATCCCATCCTTCCCTCTGACCCTCTGACCTGCTAGATACCTCTACCAGACATCCTCAACCCAAAGGAGCTGGAGGCGAGTCTCCCAAGTCGCTCATGTCTTTGAGGCTATGGTTCATGCTCGCTCTGTGCTCGGCCAGCAGTCGCAGCACGGCCCTGTCGCCGGAGAGCGTGGCGCACATCACCGCGTTCATTCCGCTGCTGTCTCGCGCCGCCGTCTCCAGGCTGTCGTAACGAAACTGTCGCAGGAAGCTCTCCGGATTTCGCTCCGACCTTCCGGTGGATTCGTCTACTTGGAGGTTCATGGGCAGT